GTTTTAAATACATAATTTATTATATTTTAAATGATTCCCCAATATCTATACTTTGCAGATATTTAGCATAAATGAGTACTATACTTTGTGTCAAAGGCTCTTTCTTCATCTAATGAACTTATCATGTGAATTTTTCCCCTAACAACTACATAAGCTGCATCCAAATTTTAGAATGCTTTTGCCCCATTATCATTGTCTTTTACAGAATTATTATTTCTTTGATTTATTCTCTGACTCATTTGTTACTTAGGATTTCATTATTGAATCTCTATTTAGGTTGGTGGTTTTTGCTCATGCTCCCTAAACTGAATACTATTTTTATTGTTATGATCTAGAAAGGATACATTTATAAATTTCTTCCTAAAAGAAAATTTTTGTCAAAGTTCCAGAGTGCTGAGAAATATATATCCCCAAGCAGTCACATTCAGAAGATATCCTAAGTCTTTTTAGCTCTAGTTTTTACAGCAATCTGCTCTAATCTTTATGTCCCTTTATTTTATTTTATTTCCCTTTCTATTAGATTTGCCCAAATCTAATAGATGGACATTAAAGTTTTCTACTACTATTGTTTTGCTATCCACATCTTCTTAGAATTCAGTTTTTCTTTATAAATTTACATATAAATTTATGTCCTTTATAAGTTTATGTGTTCCAAACTTGTATTTGGAACATATAGTTCAATACTGATATTAATTTGTTGTCTGTGCTTCTTTTCAGCATAATGAAATTTCCCTGTTTATCTCTATACTGTAAGTTTTTATTTTTGAAATTATGTCTGATAGCATGATTGCAGCTACTGTTTTTTAGAATATAGGCCAGAAAATGACCAAGATAGCACCCGACATTTTGGCCATCTGGAACACTATCTCATTAGTGCCAGGATTTAAAACAAAATGCAAAGAAACCAGACTCCTTCAAAATAAGATATGATAAGAGCAACAGAAACTAATTAAAACACAGCAACTACAAGAAAAACATCCTGGTATAGTGGAGTTGGCCTCTTAGCATGATCTGTGTTCCTGGGCTCAAGTCTAACATCTGACACATACTGGCCTTTAACTCTAGGCAAATAACAACCTTTCAGTGTCCTAGACAACTTTACAATAAGATAAATTGAAGAGTATCTAGGTACCCATCTGCATGGGAAAAAGGAAGTTATTGAAAAGATTGCTCCTTATACCAATATAGGTTTATATTAAAAAAAAAAACATAATTGAGATGGAGAGCTTTGTATCAGCCTAAAAGTAAACCAATTTAAAAAAAATCTGTAAATATGAATTTCTACAGCAGAAAAAAGTTTAAAATATTTAGGCATAAGGAGCAGGTTGCATCTTATAAAGAGGGGAAAGGTTAAACAAATAGGATATTTAAGTGCAAATTACAAATGGAAGATTTAGAATACAATAAAAGTTCAACTCAAAAGTTCAGTAAGAAATATTTCTACATCCTCTTCAAGAGATCACAGGCTCTAAAAGGAATTCCCTTACCTGAGGTGAAAGGAGGCGGTCACTGTGCACAGGTGTCAAGTAAAAAAAAACTGGGAACAGGAGTGAGAAATGTTTGTTGGAGATAAAAGGAAGAGATTTAGAAAACACTCAATTAGAATCTGTAGGAAGTTAAGAACTGAGGAGGAAATGAAAAAGCATACAGTTGGAAATGAGTGGTTAATAGCTTGAAATCACAGAAACCTTCCTCAATTCATCTACATAATGCCTATGGCTAAACTGCTTTATATAATCAACAATTTCTCCCCCTAAACTTCTGGGTTATCTTGACCTCCATTCACTCGGTTCAAGCTCCTCTCCTGGGCCATTACTCCTGTTCTGACTTCATTTCCCTCCCTTCCCAATGCTAAATGTAGAATGCATTAATCAGTTCAACAATATACTGAGCTCAGCTTTCAATCCTTTGCCCCTCAGTCCTATTGCTTCAGTCCTCACCAAGTAAGTAGGTTATCCCCATTATCTGCCTTTTCCACTCACAGGGCATATAGGTGGTAAAGTGGATAAAGTACAGAGCCTGGAGTCAGGAAGACTCATCTTCCCGAGTTCGAATCTGGCCTCAGACACTTACGAGCTGTGTGACCCTGGGCAAATCACCTAACCCTGTTTGCCTCAGTTTCCTCATCTATAAAAATGAGCTGGAGAAGGAAATGGCAAACCACTGCAGTATCTCTGCCAAGAAAACCCCAAATAGGGTCACAAAGAGTTGGACATGACAGAAATGACTGAACAACAACAAGCCATTAAAACAGCACTAGAGATCACACAACTAAGGAAATCCATGCAGAGTTAAGAACTCCCTCTTAATTCCTTATTCTACACCTCAAAACTAATTGTGGACTGAGAGACAAAGGATCTGGGGTCAAATACTATTTGGTCACTTAGTACCTGTGTAACCTTGGGCAAGTCTGGGCTTCAGTTACTCATTTGTAAACTGAGGTGTGCCTTAGACTTACTTCTCTAAACGTCCCTTCCAACTCTAAATTTATGATCCTATGACACGTTGGTAAACATCCCTCATGCTTTCTTTGCCCTCGTGTCTAATAAAGAGGTGATCCTTGTCCCCTAGATTCCATTTTCTTCAATTGCTTGCTCCTTCAATCAATACACCTCTCTAATTTTCAATCTCTCTATTTGCTGACTCCTTTCCTGCTGCCTACAAATATGTTCAGGGCACTCTCATCCTTTAAAAAAAAACCTTCACTTGAACCTACCATTGCCTCAAATTATTACCCTCTACAGCTCTTCTCTCTTTCAAGACCAAACTCTTAGGCAAAGCCATCTCCATTCACTCTTTCCATTTTTCTACCTCACCCTCACTTCTCAGGCCCTTGCATTCTTGCTTTGACATCATCACCCAATTCAAACTACTTTATCCAAGAGTTACCAATCATCTCTTAATTACAAAATCCAACGACCTTTTCTCAGGGTTCATCCTGCTTGATCTCAGCAGCATTTCACACCGCTAACAACCCATTTTCCTAGACATTTTGTACTCTATAGAGCTTCATGATACTGCTTCCTCTAGGTTCTCTTATCTGTCTGGCTACTCCTTCTCAGTCTTCTTTGTTGGATCACCATTCATGTCCCATGCCCTCTTCATCCAAGCTCTGTGCTAGGTATTCATTCTCTATAAACTGTCTTGGTGATCTCATCAGCTTCCAGGGATTTAAATATCATCCTCACACAAATGACTCTCAGATATATCCAGCACTACTCTCCTAAGCTCCAGGCTCACATCACCAACTGTCTATTGCACATTTCCAACTGGATATCCTCTAGGAACCTCAAACTCAAGATGTATAAAATGGAGGCTTTAATTTTTTCCCTCCAACCCTAGTCTCCCCCTCTCTAGACATCCCTATTTTTGTTGAGTACACTACCATTTTAACACTCAGATTTGTAATTTTAGAGTCATTCTCAAAACATCACTCTCCATTATAGATACATTACCTGCCTCACCCAAACCCCATGATAGCCAATCTGTTGCTAAGTCTTTTTAACTCTATCTCTTAGGATTTTAGGATGATAGTTCTAGAGCAGGAAGGGAATGCAAGGTAAATCTAGTCCATTCTCCTCATTTTAAAGACAAAAGAACCAAGGTCCAGAGAGACTTGCCCACAGTCATCCTGGTAGTTTACAAAGGATAAATTTAAAATTCAGATCCTCTGAATCTGAAAGCAGCCCTCTTTCTTTCTTTTTTTCTTTTTCTTTTTCTTTTTGCTTTGTTTTGTTTTGTTAGGCAATGGGGTTAAGTGACTTGCCCAGGGTCACACAGTAAGTGGTATGTGTCTGAGACTGGATTTGAACTCAGGTCCTCCTGAATCTACCACTGGTGCTCTATCCACTGCACCACCTAGCTGCCCCAGAAAGCAGCCCTCTTTCCACTCTACCATGACACTTGCCATACACATTTCTTAAATCTGTTCCCATCTGTTTTTTTCACATGACCACCATCCTAGTTCAACACTTCATCACCTCCACCTAGACTATTAGAATAGCTTCCTAATTATTCTTCCTACCTCCAGTCTCTCCCTTCTCTAATTAATCTCCCACATATTCAGCAAATTGATATTCCCAAAGCACAGATCTAAACATATCACTCCCCTTCTCAAGAAGCTTCAGCAACTCCCTAATAACCCTAAGATAAAATACAAACTTCTTTGTTTGGCATTTAAAGCCCTTCACAACCTGGCTCCAAGAAGTACTGGACTTGCTGAAAGATATGGATTCAACTACTACTTCACATGTGGACTTGCTCTGGGCCAGTCACTTAACCTCTGAGAATTGAACCAACCTTACAATTTGTGAGGATCAAATGAGCTACGATATGAAGAAAAAAGATATAAAGAAAAAACAAAATATAAATATATCCCTTTGAAAATTTTAAAGAGCTATGTAAAATGTGAGCTACTTTTACTAGGCTAAGCATTCACATCAATATCCCTCAGGAACTCTATATTTCAGTCAAACTAATCTTATCGTTTCCCCTCCAGTGAAACTCCACCTACCACATCCCTGCCTTTGCACTGGAATGCACTCTCACCTCTTAGAAGGTGAGCTTTCCTTCAAGACTCAGCTCAAATGTCACCTCCTACAAGAGGCCCTTCCTCAAGTTATTAGCTACATACACTTATTTTGTATTTACTTTGGATATAGCTTGTATTTACTTGCATATGTATGTATTGTTCCTTCAGAGAAAAAGTAAACTACTTTAAGGCAAAGACTAACTCATTTTTCTATCTTTGGATTTTCAGTGCCTATCAAATTTACCTTGCACATAGTAGGTGTTTAATGAATGCTTGTTGAATACAGCCATAGAAAAAAATTTTTGAAGGATAAAAGAAGTTATAATAATCAGGGCACCACTGCCTTTTCAAATAATTTTTTAGTGTTCTATTTGTGCTATAAATTAAAGATATTGTTACAAGAATTACTAAAAGTAGGAAAGCAATGTATTTTACACTTTACAAAGGCAAAAGATTAAGAGATGCATACCTTTGTTACATTAACTCTTCTTACTTCAAATTTACATTCAGTGTGTGTGCCTATGAAAAAAGAAATTCCAGTCAATATTTATGGAACTTATCCAAAGTATTTAACATCAAATCACTTATTAAGTTTTGGTAAACAATAACTACTAAAAATACTGGTATAATATTTCTATTATTGATGTGGTTCAGTCATTTCAGTCATGTCTGACTCTTCATGAACCCATTTGAGGTTTTCTTGGCAAATATACTGGAGTGGTTTGCCATTTTCTTCTCCAGCTCATTTTACAAAAGAGGAAACTGAGGCAAACATGGTAAGGTAACTTACCCAGGATCACACAGTTATTAAGTGTCTCACATCAGATTTGAATTCAGGAAGATGAGTCCTCCTGACTCCAGACCCAGCATTCTATCCACTGCACCACCTAGCTGTTCCCAGTATTAATATTATATTATCATTATTCATTAACATAAGTAACCCACAGGGGAAGGAGCCGAGAAAACAGAGGAGGAGGAAGTAGTTAAATTTCTGACCCAAATTCCTCTAAACAGATCTAGGAAGTGCACCAGATTGAATTTTGATGGAGAAATATAAGAAAAAGTCACAGTGAAGTCATTTTCCCAGCCCAGGTAGGCATAGGAAGATAGAAAGAGAGGTCTGGAATCATTAGGGAAGTAGTCTAAACAGGAACACCACAGAATGGAGCATTCTAGCACAGGTTGTGCTCTAGAGCAAGTAGAGGTCCCAGATTCATACTGTGACCTCATACAATATCCAGGAATAGGTAGCAGTTTTATTACCCACTATCTAGTCTAAGGTTACAGATCAGGGTGGATTGAGAAGGGAATCTGCATTCAGTGGTCAAGGGATAGGTAGTGGAAGAATGCATATGGAGAGGATTAAGTTCAAAAGCAAGCAGTAGTGGTATCACTCAGACACTAAGAGCACAGTAGGTCTTAATTCCAGTTTCCATCTTAGTCTCAAATTTGCAAAGGAATAATCAAGGTGAGAATCCCAGACCAAAGGGTAAACCTGCAGTTCTTTCACTCTGACCCAGCAGAGCTTCCCAGCTAGCTGATAGGGGTGAGTAGTAAAGCAATATTATTGTTGCTCAGACCAAAACCCAGGTCAAGAACTCGCATAGCTCAGACAAGGGGGCAGTTATCAGACTTTGCCCTAGATCAGATGACTTTTGGAGCACTGAAAGTTCGTTGGTATCTAGGCCTGAGCTGACCCTGAGATTCTGAAATAACGTAACATTCCATTGCCTAAGAAAGCAGCAACAGAATCTGCCCATATCTTCCCTTCAGAAACGTACAGAACCTGACCCTAACAACAAGTCTGAAGTCAAAAAGTAAACTGGAAGAATGAGCAAACAAGCAAACAAACAAAAAAAAAAATCCCACTTTAAAAAGTATTATGCTGAAAGGGCCCTCAAAATATTAATCCATAAGAAGAGAATGATTCTAAAACATCTGCAACTGAAGTCTCAAAGAAAAACACAGGTCTTGCACATATTCAACTGGAATTCTTAAAGATATGAAGCAAAGGTTAAAAACAAAAAGTTTAAAATGTTTACACATATGAAATGATAGTGTAAGATAAAACTGGAAAAGAAACGAGTGTTATAGAAGAAGGTATGGAAACGAAATTAACAGCTTGGCACAAGAGGTAGAAACCTTGCCTAAGCAACAAACTCCCTAAAAATCAGAATGCACCAAACAGAAGCCACTGACTCCATAAGAGAACAACAAATACTACAAAGTTAAAAACAAAATCAAAAGACTGAAAAAATGTAAGAAAATGTAGAAGAAGAATAGAAGAAAATCTCACAGTAAAAACAACTGACCTGGGAAACAGATCAAGGAAAAAAAAATTTAAGAATCATGCACTACCTAAAAGACATGACCACCCCTACCCTTCCCCCCGCCAAAAAATGATCCTAGATATATTTCATTAAATCTTAAGAGGCAGCTAGGCGGCACAATGGATAGAGAACTTGGCCTGGTATCAGGAAGACCTGAGTTCAAATCAGAACGAAAGGCACTTATTAGCTCTGTAACTCTGGGCAAATCATTTAACTTCTATCTGCTTCTGTTTCCTCATCTGTAAAATGGCACCTACCTTGCATGGTTGTTGTGAGGATCAAATGAGAAAATATTTTTGAAATTGTCTAGAACAGTACCTGGTACATAGCAGGCTCTTAAAAAACATGTATTTCCTCTCTTCTTCCCTTATTTCTTATAAGAAAACTATCTAAATCTCTTAGGACCAGAGGGAAACGCAGAAACAGAAAGAATTCATTGGCCACTTCCTAAAAGAAATCTCCAAATGAAAATCACCAGAAAAATTATAACCAAAATCCAAAGCTTCCAGATCAAAGAAAAAATACTAAAAGCAGCCAGGAAGAAAGGATTCATAAACCAAGGAGTACTAGTCAGTATCACACATGACTAAGCAGCCACCACAATGAAGGAGCAGAAAGCTTGGATTACAATGTTCTGAGCTGACCCTAAGATTCTGAAATAACATAATATTCAGCAGGATCATATCAGAGGATATAGGTTTACAGTCAAGAATAACTTACCCAGCAAAACTGAGTATAATGTTATCAGGGGAAGGGGGGAGAGAACGAATCTTAAATAAAAGAGAGGGTTTCCAAACATTCCTGTTAGAAAGACCAGAACTGTGCAGAAACTTTGAAGTTCGATCACAGAAGCTGAAACACAATGTACAAGTTAAAAGGGTAAACACAAATGAACAGTTATAAGGAACTAAAGGATAAACTGCTTACATTCAATATGGGGAAATGATTCATGCCCCCTCTGAAACCTACGATCAACAGGGTTCATAAAGAGTCTAATTACACAGAAAACCTAGGAGTGGAAATAGAAGGGAAGAGGAATAGGATATACTGTGGGATGGGGGGAGATGAAGGAAAAGGAAGATTAGGGAAAACTATCTCACATAATAAGGGTGTGCAAGTAAGTATCAATATAAACAAGTAGGAATGGGTAAATGGCTGATACCTGAAACTCACTCTCATTTAAAAACTGTTAAAAGGAGGGAAGAATACACACACACACACACACACACACACACACAGAGTTAAATAGAGAAATACAGGTCACTCAATGGGGAAAATAAGGGGGAAAGGAGAGAAAGGGAATTTAGAAGAAGGGTAGGTTAAGGAAGGGATAAGTCAAACTCTAAGGATATACAAAAAAGAGCTCTTTTTGAGGTGGCAAAAAACTGAAATGGGGTGAATGGCTGAACAAGTTATGACATACAAATATGATGGAATAAATTGTGATCTAAGAAATGGTGACAGAGAAACTTTAGAAGACCTGTATGAACTGACATAGAATGAAGTGAATAGAACTAGAAGAACAATTTATACAATGACAACTACACTGTAAAGATAAACCATTTAGAAAGACTTAGGAATTGTTGATCAATTATGATTCCAGATGACTAATGATAAAGCAAGCTACCCATTTCCTAATAGTACACAGTACAGAATGAGATAATACAATATGCATGTATACTAACAGACGTGTGTATACACACATATACGTATGTATATGCATGTGTGTATGCAAACATATACAGATGTGTGTGTGTGTGTCCATGTCCTTTTGGACATGGCCAATGCAGAAATGTGTTTTGCTTGACTACGCATATTTGTAAGAGATTTTGTTTTCTTTTTCTCTCAACTTAGGGAGGGGGATAGAATTCTGCTTATTGAAGAATAAAATTTAATTAAAAACAATCCACATTAAAGAAATTTTATAAATTTAACAGTATATTTATGAAACTAAATAGGTCCCTTAAAGATCATCTAGTCTATTCCTTATTTTCTCGTGATTGTCACAGATCAGAGGGTTTCACAAAGACAACAATAGAAAGCTTGGGAAACTCTATGTAAAACTGTTAAATTATGCAGATTTAAGTCTAGGTTTCTTAACCTTTTTTGTGTCATTGATCTCTCTGACAGTCTGGTGAAGCCTATGAACTCCTTCTCAGAAAAATGCTTTTACATGTACAAAATAAAATACTTAGAACAAAAGGCAACTAATTATTTTAAAATGCAGTTATCAAAATTTTTTTAAAAACAAGTTCAGACTTCAAGTTAAAAATTTCTGCATTGCAGTTATACCCTGATGTTGGGTAACCCAATATGAAGAATTTGCCTTAAAGGAAGAGTAATTCAGTAAGTATCCAATACCAAATCCATTATCTGTAAACATAAGATTTCTTTTACCATTTCTGAAAAATCAAATTTTATATCCTGCAGAGATATAGAACAATCTACGAGTACTAGTCAGTCTGTGATGGACCAGTGCAACACAAATTTTAGGGACCCCAAACCCAAAAGGCCACAGACTAAGTATGGACTCCATAAATTTAATGTCTGTGGCCAAAAATCTTTTTGTCAAAGAAACCTCAAGATGATCCCTCTTATAGACAAGCACTGGGACTACTTCTTTCTTCCTTTTTTCCCAGTTATTCCTACCACTTCAAATCCTGCCTTAGACTGCCACTGGGGTTGAGTATAAAGTAGGTACTAGGGTTGGGGAAATCCTAGGCAGTAGTGGGACCTGTAGGAATGAAAGGAAACTAGGAGGGGAATTAACTACCAAACAATTGTGGTCAGTCATTCTAATGTGATCATCCACATGTAAAAGATATACATAAGGGGCAGCTAGGTGGCACAGTGGATAGAGCACAGGCCCTGGATTCAGGAGGACCTGAGTCCAAATCCGGCCTCAGACACATAACACTTACAAGCTGTGTGACCTGGGCAAGTCACTTAACTCTAGCCAAACAAACAAAAAAAAAAGATATAAGGGCTACTGTTTATATGGATGAATGAATAAGACATCTAGTAAGTGCTTACTTACCCAAAGTGCTAAGGATACAAAAAGAAAAAGGTAATTCCTGATCTCAACTCACATTCCAATGGGAGAGACAACACAAATGGAAGGTTTTCAGCTGCAGGTCAGATGGGTTCAAAATGTAAGAAGAAATGACCCCAGAAGTGGTGGTTGTTTGA